TAGCAGCATTATTAGCGGCAGTGTTAGCAGCAGCGTTAGCAGCATTATTAGCGGCAGTGTTAGCAGCAGCGTTAGCAGCATTATTAGCGACAGTGTTAGCAGCATTATTAGCAGCTGCGTTAGCAGCATTATTAGCAGCAGCGTTAGCAGCATTATTACCGGCAGTGTTAGCAGCATTATTAGTGGCAGTGTTAGCATTATTAGCAGCAGCGTTAGCAGCATTATTAGCGGCAGTGTTAGCAGCATTATTAGTGGCAGTGTTAGCATTATTAGCAGCAGCGTTAGCAGCATTATTAGCGGCAGTGTTAGCAGCAGCGTTAGCGGCAGTGTTAGCAGCAGCGTTAGCGGCAGTGTTAGCAGCAGCGTTAGCGGCATTAGAACCTTTTAGGCCGATCTTGCTGCGGTCCATGGACTCTTTGGCGTCTGCAGGGATCATCCACTTCCCTCCGGGTCCCTTGATGGCCATCACGTTCCTCTCCTCCCATTGGACCGGAGCCTGCAGGGGAAAACTCAGTTCAGTTCTCCGTTCTGGATCTGGTGGCCCAGTTCTGGTCCGGTGCCGACTCACCTTAGCGGCATCAAAGATCTTGACAACGGCGGCAGAAATCTCCGGGCCGATGCCGTCTCCTGGAATCAGAGTCACCGTCTGCATCTGGAATCGAACAGAACCGCCATCAGTTCCTCTGGACTGCCCCAGAACCGCCTGGACCCAGATCAGACCGAGCCTGATTCCGGTCCAGCAGACCAGAACCAGCCCTCCATCAGGAGACTCCAGCAGGACAGCACAGAGAGGTTCTGTCTAGAACAGACCCGCCTCAGACCTGTGGTTCTGTGCGTCATCCAGAACCACAGGCGCAGAAGGGTCCAGGTGCCATCGGATCAGAACCGGGTCATCGCTGGAAGCAGGCAGGGCAGCTAAGAAGCTGCTCCTGTCCAGGACAACTATCCAGAACCATCCAGAACCAACTGGACTTCTGAAGGACAGAGAATAACCTAAGGACTACAGACAGGCGCTGGACTCAGGTCAGAGGTCAGAGGTCAGACCGGTGAAGATTCTAAAGTTAAAGCAGCATCAGGGGAACTGGGACTGGAGGTGCTGGTCCAGACCCACTTCTGAGACCCGGTTCACTCACCCCTCTGGAGAAGGAAGAGACAGCCGGCCTCCTGTTGGCTCCGCCCATCACCTGGCTCACCTGCAGCAGACAGGAAGCAGCTTTACTCACCTGAACAACTAAAACACTAATCAGCTAAAAAATCAAACATTTCTGTGGAGATATTCATTAAAGCCACATGATGAATTATTTATTTTATTACTTTGTGGTTCAGGCGCCAAAATGATGAGTTATAAAAAAATTTAAAAAACACAAAAACAATCAGAACACAGTAAATTAAAAACATGAAGTTTTAATCAGGCGTTCAGCACAGAAACTTTAACACTTTGAGAAGATTCACGATGGAGGAACGACGGACGCCATGATGTTCAAACTGAAACTGAATAACCACGAGATTCATGGTGTAAAACGTTTTACATTAAAAACCGTTTTACACTATGTGAATAGATGAAGAGCGTATTCTTCATGATTTATTCCCGTTTCTCTGCATCAAATCAATTATTTCTCTATTAATACCCGCCTCTTCTACAGAACTTTATAGCAGAACTCAGGTTGGGACCAGAAACCCGCAAACTGGAGATATCGGATCAGATCCGATTAGAACCAGTCGGAACCAGTTATTATGGGAAATCATGTGAACAATGAATGAATTTGGCAGCTGTTTTCAGTGAAGCTGCTCAGTTAGTCAGGCTGTCTGCTCCAATAGTTTCACACCATGTTTCACCAACAGAGGAATGAAATGAGCTCCTTCAGTTTTCACACTTCTCTCTACTGTGAAGGAGGCAAAATTTCTAGTATCCATCTTTCAGGCAGCTAGCATACAGTTCACAGCAACAGGTGGGGGGCAGGCAGCCCAGCATTAAGAGAAAACATTTGTAAACAATGATGGATCGGCCCTGGTTTAAAGCTCTGTCCTACACTGAGAGGTCAAGGTTCAAACTAACAGGAGCTCTGTTGCTACACCTAAACATCACATCCTGTACACGTGTTTTAATGAGTGATGCGTTCAGTTTCAGCCGAAATGAACAGACACCCCACCTTCTTTTCCTGACCTTTGACCCTTTAATTTCATTTATAGGTTTCAGTCCAACTCGAAGGAAATCTTAAATGAGTCATTTTTAAACGGAGTCTGGGGTCGGTGAGGCTAAGCTAGCTTCCAGTCTCTAGTTCCAGTGGTTCCGAGAACTAACGAAATAAAAAGGCAGAGCAGTGAGCAGCATGAGCCGGCTAATCGCTCCAGACAGACGAGGGAAGATTTCTGGATGAAGCTGAGGAAACTTCTCTACCATCTGATTTCCCTGCTGAAGGACGCCAAGACCGCTGCTAACAGCTAGCAGGCTAACAGTGGAGTCAAAATCTTGATCTAACCGGAACAGAGACCCGGAAGCTTCGGTTGCCACAGAGAGCCCCGCCGAACCCCTCAGAGCCTCGCAAAGCTACGGCGGAACCACTGGTAGAGACTTTCCAACACTTCCAGAACATTTTCCTCTTACCAGTGACCTCCACACGCTGCCTGCTGCCATCCTGACGATAACCTGAGATCCTCCTTGTGCGAGATGCCTCACTACGAACAGCCCGCCACAGAGCGAAGATTCTATGACTGAAAGATGCCTCACTGCTTTACATCCTCCTGAGACTGGAGATGGAAATTTAACCACCCGACTCTAATCTCGTGTATTTACATGTAAGTGTTAATAAATACATATTGTCCTATTTTTTAAAAAAATAAGCTTGAACTTAAAATTTATTGTCATTGTGTTCCTCCTACTTTCACATCTTGAGTTTTCAACTTCTGACAACTGTATTATGTTTCTGTTATAATGTTGTACAGAATAAAAGGCAACCAGATCAAATTATTTTTGGTATGTATAACCCGTCCTTCCAAACAGCGCTTGGTGCTCAGAGCAGAAATTCCCTGCTGGGCCTCCGTCCGTGGAGGCGCAGGCGATTCTTCTTTGTGGCTGCGTCCTTGGCGCGTATCTGTATCTGTACTTTACTTAAGTAGATTTAATAATGGATACTTTCTACTTTTACTCCACTACATTTTACAGTAAGT